GCCCACCTGTCTCCTTTAGTGCTTTAGATAACGCACCCACCTGTCTGAGAAAAGAGACCCTTAAGGACACCAGACCTGGCACAGAGTTAACTCTTGCTGCTGTGTGCAACAGAGTTCCTATATAAGACCAGACTGCTTCCTCTTCAGTACAGATAATCATTCCTTGAGGAAAAGAGCTATTAGCCCTTTGCTGGGCTTCCTGAATCCAGGGAGCACATTTGTTGTCTGTTGCAAGTCTGGCTCTGGCTCTTATTTCTAAATTTTAAACTCCTTCCTTTTTCTGCCCTCCTAAATCTAACATTCTATCTTATGAAGTGGGCCTTAAATCCAATTAGAAACTGATTGGTTACTCCCATATATTCATGATATTCACACCACTATTGCACCACTGTGCATATCTTGTCAGAAGGCCTGGCTTCTTTATAAATTAATTTTTATTTTCTCTGTGTAACTTTTAGTCTGTTCTGTTATAGGACTGAGGGCTGAGAAGAGGCAGCAGGACTCAGGCTACAGACTACCCAGCTGGCCGCAGGAGACCGCTACAGGCCTCAACAGGTACTGTGTCTTCCAACAGCCGCTGGGACCCCCACATGTCCCCTGGATTTCCAGATTGAAACTAGCTGTTTCTGGTTTGTGGGGTATGCCAGTGTCCTCTGTAGGACAACTGTGTATGTCACAGCAGGAGAGGTGACATAGTATAGCCTCCCAGGTAAAGCTATTATCAAGAAAGTGTGTGAAATTCACATTGTTTCACACAGATATCTGCCTCTGTGAGGGGCACAGGGATTGGACAGCTCATATAGTCCTAACCACTTGAGATTAACTGCAGGGATTAGGGTCACCTAGGAAGGTAGATTCTGCTTTATCTAGTAGACATGAAACTGACCCAGCCTATTTCCTTGCAATCAAGTCCTGATCCCAACCTTAGAACCAACCTTGTTGTCTTCCCATAACTGCTTCTGAATGCAAGGACATGTTTGTGTCTAGAAAATGCCAGCCCCATTTTCACATGGATGACACTACTGTCCAGTGCAAGAAGGGCCCCAGCTAAGGCCAGACTAGAACAGAACAGGTATTGATGTCCTCAGAGGTCAGAGGGTTACCATAATCCCCAAGCATCCCCTGGACTTTACTGTTTAAGAACATAGACATATAGAAGTGACCTCATCTTGTACAACACAGTCTGGCTCTGTTTTTATTTTGGGGGCATTTGGCCAGCATGGTAGTCACCAGCCCCTTGTGGGTGTTTATACTGAGATTAATTATAGTTCAGTAACATGAAACTCTAAGTATGTTGGGTCAAAATTCATTTTTCATTTTTTTTTGGAACCTGTTGAAATATAATGTGCATATTATCCATTGCACACCTTTAGTATGTTCCGTTCAATTGCCTTGAGTATATTCAGTCATCAACACTCAAAATGAAACAATGTGTTGGAATCATTAACTGTTACATGTACTTTCCTATCTCCTTCTTCCAAACCTAGACCAACAGTTATCTGTTCTCCATGTGGACAGAGTCACTTCCACTGAAATAGTTCTATGTACGGAATTAGCATCTGTGGCTCTGTGGTTGCCTATATTCACTGGGCATATTTTTTTTCTTCTGTGTCTGTATTGTCGCAGATACCAGTACTTCATGATTTTCCAGAGGCATACTGTTCTATACCGCAGTACGTCAATTTTTATCCAGGCATCCATTACTACATTAGTTTTATATCTTCTCTGGATATTAAGAATAAAGTTATTATTAACATCCATATAGGAGGATAGTTGTTATATGCACATATGCTTTACATTGTCCTTGAGCTCAGGAATCTAAGACTGGCCTGACCAACATAATGAGACTGCGCAGAGAGAAACAGAGATAAAGAAAGAGAAGGAGGAAGGGAAGGAGGGAGCAAGACACACAAACAGAGTGAGAGAGAGAGAGAGAGAAAGAGAGAGAGAGCAAGCATAAAAATGTGTAAAATAACCCTGCAACTACTAATATAACTGACCAGAATTTCATGGGATTAGGTCACATATATATATTTCTTGGTAAGCACTGTTAAGATTACCAGTAATATAATTAAGCCAGATGTGATAGTACATGCCATTAATCCCAGCACTTGAGAGGTAGAGGCAGGGAGATCTCTGTGAGTTCCAGGGCAGTCTGGTCTACATAGTGAGCTCTAGGCCAACTGGGACTACAGGGAGATCCTATCTTATAAAACCACAAACAAACAAACAAAACAGTAATATAATTAAATTTATTTCAAAGAATTCACTACCAATAAATGTTTTTCCATAGACTTGAGAGGCAGAGTCAAGAGAATCAACTTCAAGGCCAGCTTCAATGACCTAGCAAGTCAAGGCCAGCTTGGGTTACATGAGACCCTTTCTCAAGACAAGACAAAATAAAACACCTTCATAAAATGAAACAAGGGGCTGGTGAGATGATTCAGTGGTTAAAAGTACTGGCTGTTCTTTCAGAAGACCTGGGTTGGGTTCCCAGAACCCATATGGTGCCTCCATCAGATTGACCTGTAGACAGGTCTGTGAGGCATTTTCTTAATTGCTAATTGATGTAGGAAGGACCAGTCCTCTGTGGGCAGTGCTGTCCCTGGGCAGGTGGGCCAAGGCTGTATGATAAAAATAGCTAAGCAAGCTGTGAGGTAGCAAGCCAGCAAGCAGCATTCGTCCATGGCCTCTGCTTCCTGCCTTTAGGCTCCTGTCTTGAGTTCCTGCCCTCATGTCCCTCAGTGATGGACTACAACCTGTAAGCAAAGTAAACCCTTTCCTTTCCAAGTTGGTTTTGATCAGTTTTATCATAGAAACAGCATCGAAATGTGCTATGTGGATTTAACCATTGTAGTGTCTCAGTTTCCAGTGTTAGAACATATCACACCTTTGCTTAGCTAAAATCAAAGAACAAATTCAAGACCATTTTTGGGTTCTTGCTCCAAGACAGAAAACATTCTCCATGCAGACAACATCTGCATGTGACTTCTTTTCATGGAAAGATGTTCCAAGTACAGTATTTTCATATTGTGTTAAAAATAAAAGACAGCTTCCAAATACCAAAAGGAATGGAAATAATTTGCATCAGTGTGGTACATGTTTTCAAACTTTTTCTATCGTGAGAAGCTGAAAATATGTCATTGGTCTTTGATTATTACAGTTCATTTCACGTTATATTTTAAAAATCTTTTGTGTTTTTGATTTTTGTGTATGAGTGTGTTGCCTGCATGTATGTAAGTGCACCCATGTTGTGCAATATTGGCCTGAGGCAGTCAGAAGAGGGCGATGGATCCCCTGGAATTGGAGTCATAGACAGTTGTTAGCCACTGCGTGGGTGCTGGGAACTGAACCGGGGTCTCTTGCAAGAGCAGCTAGTGCTCTTAACTGCTGAGCCATCTCTTTGTCTTATTTATTTAAAATTTATTTGATTTTATGTGTATGAATGTTTTGCCTGCATGTAAATGCATTTGTGTCATGCAATTCCTGCAGAGGCCAGAATCCCTTGAAATTGGAGTTTACAGATGGTTGTTAGCTATGTGGGTGCTGGAAATCAAACCCAGGTCCTCTGTAAGACCAGCCAGTACTCGTAACCACTGAGCCATCTCCCCAGTACCCTGTTTAGATTTTTAATGTAAATACTACACAAACTTGCACTTCTTGGAATACATGTGACATGAAAGTTATGGGCTGGCTATTGAAGATGAAAGAGTAAGTCCAAGAGATGTAGGAGGCACAGGTGGAGGGGAATGAAAGAAGAGAAAACATAATGACATGTGTGTGACAGTGCTATAATGAAAGCCTGTGCTTTACATACTAACCTAACACTGAATGACAGTTTTACAATACTGTCTCAGATTTTATTTGTATTGGACATTGCTGTTTCAAGGGATTGCTTCCCATTTCAAAGTTAAGGCTGCCTCTTTCAAAGAGCAGAGTCGGAAACATTTACAGGAAAAGTTTAAAAATGGTCACATTTCTTCCATTTGTGAGTAATATATATGTAAATAAATACATATGTAATCGATAAGCTGAAATGTACAAAGTTAAGGTTCTCATACAGAGGGCTCTGCTTGAAATACCTTCAGTCATTGTTTTAGATTTAATTAGTTTTTAAATTTATTTTATTTTTTATGTGTATGAGTGTATTGCTTCCATGTGTGCAAGTGCAATACCTGGGGAGGTCAGAAGAGGGTGTCGGATCCCCTGGAACTGGAGTTACAGACAATTGTTAGCCACCATGTAGGTGCTAGGAATTGAACCTGGGTCTTCAGCAAGAGCAGTTAGTGCTCTTAACCACTGAGCCATCTCTCCAGCCCTTGTTTTAGTTTTTTGAGCCAGGGTGTCATGTAGCCCAGTTTAGCCTCTAATTAGCTATTCAACCAAGGCGGGCCTTCAAACTCTTGATCTTGCCTCAGCCTTCCAAGTGCTGGGATCACAGGCCTCAACTACCAAGCCAGGCTAGAACTTGCCTTTCTTGTTCAATTCACCTCTGGTCGGTGTTATTTTCACTGTAGGGTCTGAGAAGTGGGATCTGAAGCTCTACTCAATCGGAGGCACTGGAGTGAGGCCTGTCCAATTGGGCAGGCAAACAGGGAGGACAGGGTGTTGTTTTCATCCTTCGGGGGTCTGACTGAGTGAGGAAGGTCTACTCTGACACACAGTAGGAGGAGGGTTTTCGCAGTCTGAGAGGGTCCAATCAGACAAATAGCTAGTAGGGGGCGGGTGAGAATGTCCAATCCATCACGGAGGAAGAGTGGAGGGGCTGAGCTTTCACGGTTGACTGAGCGAGGAAACTCCAATCAGGCACGCAGTGGGACTGAGGAGTGTCCAATCAGGTACGCAGATAGCAGGAGGCGGGCTCTCACCATCTGACAGGTACGCAAAGAGCAGGGGGTGGGCTCCTACCATCTGACTGACAAGTGTCCAATCAGGCTTGCAGAGAGCAGGGGCGGGCTTCGGTGTCCGACTGGCGCCTTTGTTTCGGACCCGCCCTCCGCTCGCCATCTTGCTACCTGTTGCTAAGCTCTGTCCTTTGGGGGAGGCTTGCAGATTGCCACAGTTGCTATCTCCGTGTCCCGCCGCCGCCCTGGTGTGGTAGATTTCTTGCGAAGGAGGAGCTGAGTGTTGGAATCTGGACATGGTGAGTGCTGCGTCCTGACCCGGGAGGGAAGCTGTGTCACCGCAGAGCTGGCGGTGGCCGCGGCTCCCCATCCGTGCAGAGTCCCAGGCCCGAGCCCTGGTTGGGGCCGCGGTGCTCCGTCCCCTCCGGCTGTGAGTGGCGCTGGCCTGCTCCGGGCACTGCGTTCTGTCGCGTCCCTGCACCGGGAGCTGAGCCCGGCTGCCACTGGCCGCCTGCAGCTCCTCTGGGGCGAGTGGCTGGTACGCAGCGGGAGACAAACTGAAGCAGTGTCTGCACACCGGACACTGCCCCGGCTTCCCGTTTCCCGTGCCACTAAGCTGCTGGGCTGTATCCCCCCCCCCCCCCCCCCGCCCCCCCGTGCTGGGATTAAAGGCATGGGCTACCACTCCAGCCTAAAGTAAAAAAAAAAAAAATTAATCTTTTAAAGAACAACCAGTGTTTTTAACTGCTGAGCCATCCCCCCCACCCCGGACCCCTAACTGCACTTTGGGACCCTCCTATGGGTCCAGCTCGCTGCAGCCTGCTGCCTAGACCAGCCTAAATCAGCCCCCTGGACGTCCGCTTCCTTTCTATCTTCTAGCTAGGCAGGATCTGTGTCCCAAGCTCTGTCTTCGTCTCAAGTGACCTTGGCTGTCCCTAATCTCCGCGTGATCCACGCCGGGAGCCGGGCAGGAGCCGGGGAGTTTCTGGGTTGTTCCTGCGGGGTTCGGAAGCCGGTTTGGGGTAGGCGCTCCGCCTCCGGCCGACATGAAAACACTTCTTCCCACTCGGGGATGGACTGCTGCCTTGCTCCCGCCGTCTGTCCCCTGGGCCACCGGCTTCTTGCTAGCTGGTGGACTTTAGCTGAGGCTCCTCTATGGGAGCCGCTTGCTTTGTCTTGGGCTGTCTCTGGATCTTTGATCTCACTGTCCCCGAATTTCTGTGACTGTCTCCTTGGTTGTTTGAATGTAGGCTTGTGAGCCCCACCACCTTTTTAATGTACTGCCACTGACCCATGTTTACCCTGTGCCTCTTGGTTTTCATTAGGAGGTAATTTCTTGTGGCATTGTGGTGGCTTGGCCATGGATTGAGATTTAAATTCCCACATCTGGTTGAGTTTTACTAGGCACTTCATTTCTGTTTGTGTGTTTGTATGTCTGCCTGTGTTCCAGAGATTGAACCTTGGGATTCCTTCCTTTTTTTATTTTTTTTATTTTTTTTTTATTTTTAGACTGTCTCCCTAACCTGAAACTCCCTGTGTAGACCATGCTGAACTCGTTCTCTCAGAAATCCATCTGCCTATGCCTCCTGAGTGCTGAGATTAAAGGTGTGCACCACCATGTCCAGCTTCTTTCTTTTTTCTTTTTTTGACTTATTAAGATTTACTTGTTTTTATGTGCATGAATGTTTTGTCTGCATGCATGCATATGTGTACCTCATGGATGGTGCCAAGGGAGGCAAGCCATTTTTGTAGCTCCCCCTTTTTCCTTTTCCTTTTTAAATATATTTTATTTATGTGTATAAGCAAAGGTTCCATGGTGTGGGTTTGGAGGTCAAAGAACAACTTGTGAGAGTCAGTTCTCAACTTCCACCCTGTGGGTTCATGGAGATCCATCTCAGGGTGTGGCAAGCATTTTTAATGGCTGTCACCAGCTCCAACCCTATTTCCTGTATGCCCTGCCCCTAATATATGTTACAATCTTTTTTTTTTAATGCCTTTTATTTATATGTATGTGTCTCTGTGTGTGGTCTTGTACAAGAGCAGCAAGCCCTCTTAATCAACGCGCGCGCGCGCGCACACACACACACACACACACACACACACACACAGAGCCAGCTGAGCCATGGCTGGTTATGTGCAAAAGGCCTGAATGTGTCTCTTCCTGTGGAGTTTCTGCATCCAGCCAGTGCCTACTGAGAACATGGTGGTACCCAGGGAATGAGATGAGACAAATTTGATTTCCTCTGCTCACCACTTACAGTCCTATGCCAGAGATGGGAACAAACTTGGCCTGTAACTCAAGCCCAGGAGGTGGCAAGTTGGGGCAGAAGCAGCTTCTTATTGTCCTACCCTGACCCTGTAGCATGGTCTCAGAGTCCCAGACTTTTCTTATGTACTGATCATTAAGTCAAAGTTAGGGGTGACATTTAGAGATTCGGGGGAGGCAGGGTAATAGAGACTGTACCCCAACTTGTTCATGGTACATGAGGGGGTCCCTTGGTTCTCTGTATCTATACAAATCCCTCCATCTCTTGTGTTTTTCTTTTCCACCCAGTTTTGTGGTTGATTAATTTTTCAGACTGGGTCTTATTCTATTATATCCCAGGCTGACCTCAAGCTTGTGGGAATCTTCCTGCTTCAGCCTCCTGAGTACTGGGATAGGTGTGATCCACCAGCCCTTATGACCTGTCTGTTTTTCACTTCCTCTCTCTGTCTCTGTGTTGTGGATGGGTCTCCAGGACTCTGAATATGATTGTGGAATGCTGATCTGAGAACAGCACCATCTGGGTAGATGAAACACTGGAGTCAAGAACCAGCTGTTCTCTCAGCATGCTTTTTTTCCTTCACTTTCTGAATGACCGTTCAGTACCCTATTAGGGAGGTGTCTCACACCTGGGTTCACTTCCAAGCCAGGCATGTTGGTGTCAGGCTGCAATCTTTGGTATTGAGATTAAGGCATGAAGAATTGAAAGTTTCAGACCAGGGGGAAGGGCTCATGGGGCCTCATTTATCCATGACACTCATAGGTAGTTCATGGTTTCTGAAGGATATCACGACATTTTCTTCAATTGTGTAGCCATTAGTATGGCACACATTCCAATAAATAACCCCTTACTCCATGACTTGTAAGCAACCCTAACTAAACTCATTGGGTCATCCAAAGGAAAAGAAAAGTAGAAGAGGGACTATTTGGAAGGTGGAAGGGAATAAGTGGGAGGGGCTGAATGGGCAACTGTGATCAAAATTTGTTACATACATGTGTGGAAATGTAAGGAATCCCATTATGTATAATTAATAAATGTTAATAAAAAACTTTAAAAACAGAAGAGTATCGGAGACCACCCTATGCTACTGAGTGGGTCCAAGGTCAACCTAGGCAACTTCATAAGATACCATCTTTGTCTAGAGAGATGACTCAGCTGTTAAACTGCTGGCTGCTTTTGCAGAGGACCTGGGCTTAGTTATCAGCACCCACATGGTGGCTAACCTTCCTTAATTCCAATTTCAAAGGCTCTAATGCCCTCTTCTAACCCCTCAGGCAATGCATGCACTTACATACATGTGAGCAAACATTCATAAAGGTAAAATAAAAATAAATTTAACAAATACTACTTAAAAAAACCCCAAAGATCATAAAAAGAGGGTATGATAGATGACTTGCCTGGCATTCTCAGGGCTTTGGGATCCATTGCTAATTGCCTTCTCCCTGTAGCCCCTGAAAAGCCTTTCCCTCTTTTGACACCTTGTTTTCTGGAGAAGGGGGTGGTGGGCACTCTGGTTGTGAGTGTGTTGGGGCCATAGCACGGTAAGATTATGTAATTGCCTTAGAAAGACTGGCGGCTGATTTAGTGCCCCTGCCTTGACCCTCTCATACTTTCACTCAGGAGAGGGATGGGGTCAGGAGCTCTACCCACTAGACAGAAAGCAAAGCCAAGGCCTGGGTGTGGGTCTTGCCACTGCCTGTCATCCTGGTTGCTGGGGGAAAGGGAGAGACATTAACTTCAGTGATGTAGCCACTAATAAAGGTGAACAATACCTTCATGTTTTTGTAATCAACCCTAATTAAACTCACCGGGTCACAGAGGAAAATATGAACGTGAAAAGGGGCCATTTTGGAAGTGCTAGACTCAAAGGGACATCAAAGGACTGGGAAAGATGGTGATGACAGTTCCCAGTCTATGAAGATGGACAAGGGACTCAAAGGTCTAAAAGAGGAACATCTGCAGGGGAAAGCAGGGCCTGAGGGAGGGAGGGGCCCAGGTCCTGGGAGGGATGGGAAGGCCTGAAGGAGATGATGAGGTAGAGGAGGTGGTCTGGTCCTGAGAGAGAAGTTGAGGGTCTGAGGGATGGGTGAAGGTCTGAGGATGGAAGCCAGGGCGTGTGAGAGGGGACAGTCTGTAGTAGTCTGAAGATTCTGGGGGAAAAGCAGCGAGGACTCCAAGGGAAGGGAGGATTTGGAGGGGCTCTGAGAGTGGAGGCATCTGTTGGAGGGAAGAGATCAGAGTCTGAACAAAGTAGTTAGTGTTGTACCTAGAACATGGAGGCCCGAGCGCAGAGGTAAAAGTATTTACCAGGCTAACACTGATATTTTCACCCACTTTACAAATATTTACCATGTTAGTCACTGTTTTTAAGGGTGTGACAGTATTACAAAAGAATACAGATATTAAATTAGATAAGGCATCTACTCTTAGAGCTTTCATAAGTTCTTTTTGAATCCAGTGTATTTATAGCACTTACTACTTAAAAATTACTACAGGACCTTACAGGCACAGTGTTTCATGAAGTCTGTTTGCTTCTTCTTTTGGGGAATACTATTTTAAGCACAAAACAAGATTTTTGATAGCAGTGCTACTCAGTCTTATTTTGGATTTAATTATGGCAGATGGATAAGATATATGCATTAAGTTTTAGTGTCGCGTCATCCCCACCCCCACCCCCCACCCCCGGCCAAGACAGGGTCTTACTGTGTAGCCCTTGCTGGCTTGGAACTCATTATGTAGAACAGGCTGACTTCTGCCTTCTGAATACTGGAATTAAAGGCGTGTGCTACCATGCCTGGCTCCAATGCATCTTTGCTTAGTAAAGAAAAGGGGCAGGGGGGAGACTAGATACTGTGGGACTGGGGAGATGATGGTTCAGTAAGTAAAGCTCTTGCCCTACTAATCTGATAACACGAATTTGGATCCTGAGAGCCCACATAAAAGCTGAATGCAGCCATAATCCCTGTGCACCGATGGGAAATTGGAAATGGAGGTGTGAGAATCAACAGAGGCTCACGGGCCAACTAGCTTGGCTT